ATTATTTTTATAATAGTTCTAACTATAATCTAGTTTTGTTTTAATTTTTCCAAAGCTCATCTTATCGTTTTTTTGTCATACATTATAAAGATAAATGTTACTTTATGGTCATAAAAATGAAAGTTTGAATTACTTTGTAATTGGAGGTATCACCTTGGGAATTTAAATGAGTGAAGGACTTAAGGTGAAATAATCTTTTTGTTATTTGTTATCATAATGTTCATTTATCTTAATTAGTCACTACAAGAATAATTTAATTTTTTATTATAAAAAAACTAATATATCCGCTTAATGTTGGTTAAAAATATTTCTATGTATTTTTTTAATTATTGATATTTATTGGATAATTATTCTCACTCCTTTTTTTTGTTTAAAAAATTGAATTAATTATAATATAAAATAGATGGATCTGTCAATCATATCATGCCTTTTCAATACTGTTATCACAGTTATTTTTTCGGGTACAAGTTGGCGTGTAAACGCAACTGCAAATGTCGTTACATTTTAGAGCATAAGAGTATCTTCATTTATATTTTCACCAACCCAGCAAATCCCTATTATTATAGATGGTCAAATAGTAGTTACTTTCTATCTACCCCTAGACAATTATGCTAACCCAATAGTAAATCTATATCAACATAATATGTAAGTATTGTAATAGAAGTAGAGAATATATATATATATATAGTATGTAATTAGGTATGTTGTTGTAAATATTTTAGAATGGTATGTGATATAAATATGAGTTGCTATATGTATATAAGTTCACAAAATCTTCTTTATCTTTATAAAAAATATTATTAATTTTATAATTGCATTAATAATTTATAATAAATACATATTTAGTATTAAATTTAAAGACTATAAACCATATACAAGCTAAAATATTAATTATAATATAATTTATATATCTAAAAATATTTCTTTATTATAAATTTTAACAGATTTATCTTATATCACACACAAATATTCTAAGCAAAAATACTAGTTTCACTTTTAACTATTGTTTTTGCTTGTGCATAAAAAAAACACTTAGTTTCTTTTATTTCTTTTCTATTTCCTATTTTAGATGCGTAAAAAAACTTGTTTATTGCATTGATTAAATGTTTATTATATATACTAAAAATTATAATAAATTATATATATAAATATTTTATTTGAATTTATAAATTATATCTAAAATTTGTATAAATAGATGTTTTAAATATGTAAATTAAATTTTGACTTTATTTATACTATTAATAAAAGGGATATGTAATAGTCGTGACACACTACGTGAGAGAGATTTAGAGATTTGTACAGATATGAGACTGTATAATTAATTAGGAATTAAAGGAATTAATTAGTACTATATATACTAACAAGATGCATCTATTTTTTAATAGTTCATCACTTAAGAATTTCATGGTCAAACATGCTTGACTTGGAGCAATTTAGGGATGATGACCTTTTAGAAAGTTTCCCAAAAAGCGTGTGAGTGAGAATAAAACATACTAAAAAATCATGTGTTGATTTGTGATGATAGTCATTGATCCTAAAAATAGTTAGATATCTCATAAAGTGCTATCCATAAAGAATTCTGACCAAAGAATGGTCTTGAATAATGAAGAGTCGTAGAGTTGAGTCGTTAATATGTCAATTCTGAGGGGTGTTATAAGATATCCCTTTTTGGTATACATAAGTTTTAGACTAATTTATCCTTATAATTACCTTTAAATTGGCTTTCTTTTATTTATTCTTTCTTTTATTTTTACTTGATTATGACATTTAGCAAATCTCTCACACTTTAAATAACCACTCATTATTTTTCCTTTCTTTCTTTTTTTTTTATAAAAAAAAATAGAGGCACAAACTACCAAAAAATGAAGAATCACCAAAAAAAGAAGAAGCACAAAGTGATTATTTTTTGACAATTGATAAATAATTTATATTGTGTCACAAGATTATTTTTAATTATTGATGATTTATTTTTAAAATATTAAAATTTATTTTATAAATAAATATGATAAATAAAAATTAAATTAAATAATAAGTTAAAAGAATTCCCAAAACTTCTTATGTTTAAAAAAAAAGTATAAAAATACGCTCACTATAGAAAATATTTTATAAGTATTTTCATTGTCTCGTAAAATAAACATTTAGATTTAATTATAAAGGTTGATTGATAAGAAGAATAACTTAATTATTTGCATAGCTAGAGCACAATGAGGTGGTGATTTTTTGTGTGTAGACCCACTATACTTCTTTGCTCCTTTGTAAAGGTGGTAGTAAATCAAACCAACTAAAAAATAGTTTGAAACTCAATTTGATATTTAGTTCATTAAACTTGATTTATGAAACAAATAAGTTGAACTTGAACTAAAAAATGAGTTTGATAAATAAGCAGAACTTAAGTTGTATATAGTTCAACTTATTTGATTCATGAATCAACTCAATATATAAATATATAATTTATATAATTAATTTTCTATTTAATTCTAACTTATTAAAATTTAAAAGAACCTTAAAAACATAGTCATGAGTTAATAATAATATATAAGAAGGAGACATCTTTAAGCTTCGTAGTTATGGATAGAATTTTCTAATACTTTTTGTAAGGTGAAGTAGTTTTTATTTATACAAATCTTGATTTTAATTATATTTTTTAGGATCAAACCTTGTAACGTATAAAAATTAATAGAAGATGTATTTTGTCTTTTCAAAAAACTTAAACAATCATTTTTATCTAAAAATCTATTAATAAATTGAAAATGTATCAAATTGAAAAAAATTTGACTCTTGATTCATGTGATTTGAATTAAGGAATTGAACTAAACTACTAGTAAGCTTAAATTAAGTTGAATTTGAATTGGAAAAAAAGTTTATGTTATACTCAAGTCAAGCCACAAGTTGAACCAAATATTATAGAATTGAACTAAATTGGATGAAACTTAACTCATTTCTAACCCTACTCTCTTAACTTGATGTTTTGTACATATGATATTGTTTTAAAGAAAAATATTAAGTGAAATTCTCCCTAAACACTCTTTTATTAATGTTTTTATTCATTATCAATGAAAAATTATGTTTTAATAAATTTTACTAATAAATTAAAAGAGACATTAATTAAGATGTGATATCTTCAAAATTTATGATTTCCTTAATTAAAAGTTATTAAACTAGAATGGATCTATCTGAATAAAGAAAATTGAAGAATGTCCAATTTAATAAATGTGAATAATCAATTAAAATGTGATCCGTTCGCTCTTGATAGTTTCCGTTATTTAAAGAGTGTCCAATTTTAAATATGAACCTTACGCTCTTCACAGTTTCAGTTATTTAACTAACTATAGCTATTAGGTTTCTAGCTTTTCTCTCTCAATTTCATCATTACTATTTTAACATGTTTCTTTCTTTTATCCTCTCTCTCTAATCATTTTTATGTTTTAAACTCTTACTATTTAAAAAAAATTCACTAAATAATTTAAAATTATAATTATCTAAAAATATCTTTTTTTTTCCTATAATTATTATTATCTAAACTATTTTAACAGCAAGTTATTTGTCCAAGTGAAATTGAATTTGAATCTTTTGTTACAAGAAGAAAATTAAGTAGTTAGATGTCTCAATAGAGATTAATTATTGATGATAAAGTTGGTTGATATTTTGCATTAGTAATATGTGATTATTCCAAATATATCAGCTACGTATTTTAACAATTAATTTATCAAACTTTTTAATTTACTAAATTAATTAATTAATTTCAACTTCTACACTAATTTTAATTTCGTAGCTAACTTACAAATCTTGATCTAATTTATAACCTAGTTCCGTGAAATGATTACACTAGGCGTATGAAGTTTAAAATTTAAATGCGTATAGTGTTCGAAATTTTTAATTTTCACGAGTCTCTAAAAATAGAATAATTTCCTTCATTTGAAGAGAACAAAACAGACAAAATAAAAGGCCCTTTGGCAGTGAGTTTGAATAAATCTTAAAGAATGCAAAATGTGTGTAACACGCGAAGTTGGTGTTCCACTTGTTGCGTGAATTTCGGGATCAAAACTCTACCAAATATATATTTATATACATATATTTAATAACATATTTATATTTAAATTTTGAGATAAAATAATGTGTTTTTAGTATTTTAAAAAATAAAAAATCTGATTTCTTATTTCAAGAAATCCAATTAAACTGAAACTAATTTATTCGTTATTGATCAAATTAGTTTGGTTTAGATTATTAAAAAAAATTATTAAATCTAATCTAAACCAAATCTATTAAAATTGATTGTTTCAAACTTTATTTTACTTTATATATAAAATAAAATAAAAATGTCTATCAGTTTTACTGCGTGACAATATATTTTGATTGAATTGAATTTATAAATGAAGGAAAAAGTATGATAATTAAACTAAATATATAATGAAGTAAAAAAGAAAGTAGAATGGAGTATCCCTTGGGACAAGCAACAAGTTAGGGAAGCAAGTTAAACATGTACTGAAATGGTTTTGTTTCATGGCCAATATATTAGCCCTTGAGAAAAGCATGCCAAGTCTCTAGTTCTGCTGAATCCACTGTCATATAGCAACAACCTCGCAGTTGTTAGATTCAAAAGGTGTGAGTGATGCTCTCAAACAACAACACATATCCATCTTGAAAAACCTCATCATGTCTTGGTTTAACACTTAAATTCACTACTCTTTTCTCAAAAGGAGTATTCTTATCTTCCAGAACCATATTTTATTAATTTACTCTATGATTTTCTAACCAGTGACCATAACTATATAGGTATGCATGTTGAGCTACCACTCTCTCTCCTTTTGATTAATTTTATCTCTAAAGTTTCATTCTTCCACCAACCACCATAATTGTAAAATACTGGGCCCAGATCCATCCATTACCATTACCAATAGTTTGATCAACCTTCCATTACTTTGTTCCACATTAAATTAATTCTATAAACTTGGTGCTGTTTCGTTATGATACGTGTGTCATCAAAATTTAATCAAATCTGACATGGGATTGTAATTAGCATCCTCTCCACTACCACTTTCGTTCACCCCAAACACAGTGCATGCACCTCAATTTGTGTCTCTGTACCATATTTTCCAAACCAACATTAAGCATTTTATTTATTATACATGTTAAAAAAGGGGTCTGAAGCCTTTGGTCTAGTGATTGTAAAGCATGTTCTAGGACATGGAATCAAGTGTCTACTTTCAAGATCAATTCCTATTATATTAAAATAATATTTAATTGACAGAAATTATGTCCTATAAGTACAAATTCATTTTTAATTATCAGTTTTATAAGTACAAATTCGTTTTTAATTATCAGTTTTAGAATACTATATGTATCACGTCTATTAAAAAAGAAAAGGGGGAAGGGGCAGTTCTGTTATGATGTCATGTGACCCCATAAACTTGTTAATGTAATCTTGGTACATCCTCTAGAGTAATATATATAGGTGTGGATATACTAACATTGGAGCAAGGTAGCAACTAATCAATTTCATTTTTGTTTGATTGCAGGAATTAATCACAATGGAAGAGGAGCAAAAACTGACAAATTTTGAGGGAAGTGAGACCAAACTTGAGTTGAGTGTGGATGAGGTGGTGGAAGGGTATGTGGGGTCATTGGGGTTCTCTCAGATGGTGCATGTGCTATTGGTGTCTTTGGCATGGATATTTGATGCTCAGAGTACTTTGGTGACAATCTTCAGTGATGCTCAACCACCTGCATGGAGGTGCAAAAATGGATTCTGTCAAAGTAACAACAGCACTGGCTCTGTCTGTGAGATGGTGCCTGGGACTTGGGAATGGATTGGTGGCCACACAAGTTCCATCATAGCTGAGTGGAATCTTATTTGTGATAGAAGGTTTCTGGCTGCTGCGCCTGCTTCTGTCTACTTCCTTGGTTCTCTCTTAGGTACATATTGCTTATTCTTTCGTTATAAAAACACGATTATTAATAGTTCAAATTTATGGAACCTCAAAATAATGAGTTTTACTAATCTCACTCATAAAATTATGAATTTCGCTAAATTTCAAGTAATGATAGATAGCAGGAATCATTATATATGGTTTATAATCATTATGGTTCCAAACAATCTTCATGTAACAAGTTACTGAATCTTATTAACTGCTTTTTTGTAAATTGAAAATCTTAGTTATATGTCATGTATAGTTGAGACCATACATACATATTAATCTTGGACCATGTAATAATTTTTTGGTTGAGTGTTGAATAGTATTTTAGGGATAATTATGTTTTTGTTATACTTCATGTACTTGTAAACCATGTGCAGTGTGCACCACTGGCCAGAAGATTTTCTTTCGTCAATCTGTTTTGACAGTACTAGTTTATACAAGGTGTTGCTTTCTCCCTTTTTTGGAACTCTTTTAATTTGTTCCAACTATAGCCATAATTAAATAAAAAACAGAACCATTCTTGTATGTGAAATTGTGTAAAATGAATTTCTTATGATTACGGCCTCGCAAATACTTATAGACAAATTTATTGTTGCATAAAAGTTGAGTTGTTGTATTTTAATGGATAGTTTATGTAATAAAGATCTTTAATAAATCCCAGTTCACAAAAAATGTTGTTTGCTAAAATATTTATGAATATTTTTGGTACTCAATGGTTTACACTTTACACTAAACTCCCATTAAAAAAATTCTACCTCATGCTGACTTTGACATGGAGATCAATTTTCTAATACTTTTTTCTTTCTTCTGTTTATGAATGAGAAGGAACTGATTTATTATCTTACTATATAATAAATTTGTCCGTAGAAAGTCACCTCTTAAGCTGTTATATTAATATAAATCTTTCCTGCCCCAGTGTCATTTTTTTGTAGTTTTCTTATAAAACATGAGCACTTAACTAATTTCCATGTTTGCAATATTTCTATAAAAAAGCAGCATCACAGTTGGTCTTTCACTTTTCTATCCATGTCCAGTACAAAGGCTATTGTTCTAGTCATTTTTATCTATGTACTACAAAATCATGGTACCATTTATCTCCCATAAACTAACCTTGGTGGTCCAATAAAAAGGCTAAGTGAAACAAGTCTCCATGACCATATATGTATCTGTAGAGAGAAAAAGTACATGTTAACTAAATGAGTAATACTCTATGCAGCAATAGTGTAAAAAAAAATTCACTCTATGTTATAAGATCTCAATCACTGTCTCAATTCTTGAGATGAGTTTATATTTTTGATAGACAACTTCACTTAATATCAATTAATTTTAAAATAAATCTAACATGATATTAGGACCTATGGTCCATCTTAGTAAATTGTCTATATTTGGGTTGGCTCGGTTGTCCCGCAAACATTTGTGGAGAAGGTACGAGTTTTAAGATGGAATCTAACAATGTTGTGCAATCTTTTACAAAAGTTATGTAAAATTTTAAACTCGTAGATTTTAAACACTTGTTGCGTGAATATTTGGTGCAGGGTCTGCTATGTATGGTCACCTGTCTGATTCATGGTTAGGCAGAAAAAGAACAGTGCAACTTTCATGCATCTTAACCTCCATCACAGCCTTTGCCACCTCTCTCTCCCCAAACATTTGGACCTATGCCTTCTTCCGTTTTGCCAATGGATTTGCAAGATCAGGAATCGGCATATGCTGCCTAGTCCTCACCACAGAATCAGTAGGTCGCAAGTGGCGTGGCCAAGTTGGCCAATATGGCTTCTTTTTCTTCACACTAGGCTTCCTCACACTCCCCCTTGTGGCCTATCCAACAAGAACATGTTGGAGGACCTTATACAAAGTCTTGTCACTCCTTCCACTAGCATATTCTCTCCTACTTCTCCCTTTGGTCTCAGAATCCCCACGTTGGCTCCTCATAAGAGGGAGATCCAAAGAAGCCCTTGAAGTCTTGGACAGGTTTGCTAGGCTTAATGGGAAGAAAAAACTCCCCAACAACCTCACCTTGATCAACCCTTGTGGATCAAGTTCTGCATCATGCAATGATAATACTACTACTAGTGAAGCAAGTCCTAACAACAAAGAGAATCTTTGGACCACAAAATGGGCAGCTATGAGAATGATCACTGTTATGCTATCTGGCTTTGGAGTTGGCTTTGTTTACTATGGTGTTCAACTCAATGTGGAAAACTTGAACTTCAACCTCTATGCCTCAGTTGCACTCAATGCAATAATGGAGATTCCTGCTGTGGTGATCATAGACGTTTGTTGTTATCCGTGTCATCTTACATAGCTGCAGTGTCATCAATCATATGCACAGCTTTTTCACACAAATCAAAAGTGCATAATAATCACAAGAATGGTGGTAGTTGGGGGCAGTTGATTATTGAAGCAATTGGATTCATGGGGGCTTCCACAGCATTTGACATTTTGTACATATATTGTGTGGAACTTTTTCCTACCAATGTTAGGAACTTTGCTGTGTCAATGCTGAGACAGGCCATAATGTTGGGGGCCTCAGTGGCCCCTTTGCTGGTTGTGTTGGGCCGGTTGAGCCCATCTCTCTCTTTCCTAGTGTTTGGTGCCTTTGCTATTTCAAGTGGTGTCTTGAGCATTTGGCTACCTGAGACTAGAAATGCTCCTCTCTATGAAACCCTTAAGCAGCAAGAGGAGGAGGAGAACCACAATTGGGTCTCTCATGATGATTGTGCCCTTGAGATGGCAAAATAACTCAAAAGAGGGTGCTCATAGAAATAGTATTATACATAGATGTTCAACAAGATTTGACATTTTATCACGTCGTGTTATTCGTTAATACGATGTGATGTTTAAATTAATCGTGCTTTTGAATTTCTGTGGAAAATTATTTTATATCGACCATGTACACTAAATAAACTCTAATGGGAATAGGGTGGTTAGCGGTTCAAAATGGTTGGAGTAAGGGAGAACGAAAATCATTATGTTGGGATGACCACATGTTGTGTCCTAATGTAATAGGATCTGATTAGTAATGTATTTTCAAATGCCATAATTGTGAAGGGCATTGCTTACGAGACTAAAAAAAGTCATGCCTCAACTCACTTTGATGATGTTAATCGAGTGTTCTCAATAAGTCATGACAACTAATTGAAAAGGCATAGAAAAGGAAGAAAAATATGAAAATGTAATTATCACTGTGATTGTGTTTTAAAAAAAAAAACCAACAAGACAAATGTTCTTATAATAGAATCAAATCACAATATATCTCTGTAAAACTAGAAGATTATCTTTATGCATTTTTACCAAGCACACAAAAAGGCTGAATATCCAAAGGTTTTTAATACATTTCTGGCATTGTCTTCTTAGTGATGCACACAATCAATTCGTCTAACATGTTGATTAAAGGAAAAGAAAAGGGTAAAAAAAATATTTTAGCTTATTACATAGAAGTAGTGTAGGATTAGAAGAAATATATGACCAAGTATTGTATCACCTTAAACGAGGATAGTAATGATGTTGTTAACAAGTGGTGATATTTCTTTCACATTTAAAAATAAAAATAATACTCTTAAAAATTAAAAATATTTTTCCTTCTTAAAATTTAACTCAGACTTATAAAAAAAAGTCATAATAATTTAATAATTTTAATTATACAAAAAAATATATAAACATTTAAAAAAGAAAATTATTAAAATTATTTTTAATATTATAATTAATATTCTAAAGTGTACAGTAATTCTTCACCTTTTTTTAAAACTATATTAAAATAGGATTCTAGTTAGTTTGATGTTAGTAGGAGCATTGGGTAATTTTTGTTGGTTAAAAAACTGTTTAAAATTATATTCAATTAATACTAAAAAAACCCAAAGTTAATTGTATATTTCAAATGATTAAACTTTTTATAGTTTTAAATATAAATTTTTACATAATACAAAAAAATAGATATTGGAGAAGATCTAGATGTTATAAAATAAAAGAGAGAGAGAAAATGAAAGAGAGGGAAAAGATTAAGAAGAACACAAATTTTAAAAAATTTGTTATTAATAATTCATTTTGGTTCTTAAATGTTTTATTTTTGTTTCATTTAATCTCTAAATGTTTTATTTTTGTTCCATTTTAATCTCTAAATGTTTCATTTTTAACCCTACTAATGTGGACACAAGAATAAAAGATTTTAAGAAAAATATTTTTGTCAATCATTATCATTTTAGTCCCTCAAAGTCCCTAAAATTTTCATTTTGGTCCTTGCTAGCATAGACACTACATGATATGACACTAAATGTGCCACATCACCATCTGTAAAAAAAACATCAATAAGATTAAATAATGGTTGGACTAGATTGATAGAATGCAAATTCAAGGACTAATTTATATTTTGATTCTTTTATAGACTAACTTGTCAGTGTCTCACACTTTTAGAGACTAAAATAGTAGTTCACTCATTGAAATTTGTATGTTTTTCAAAATTAAGAGGCTTGTTGCAAGTTGTAAAAAGATTCAATTGAATATCCCCATGTTTGACACATTTTCTTTGAAAAAAATGTTGATAGTCATTATTAAATAAACAAGACATTTATATTATTCACAAATTTGAATTGAATACCACAAATTTTTCATATCAAAAGTCTTTTAAAACTTCAATATGGTACACTCATTATATATAATTTGAGAGATAATATGACTCCCACTAAAACATTAAGGTTGATTATCTACCGATTATTCAAGCTACATATAATCCAACTATAACCAAACACACTAATTTCATAGTTGTTTTCGATCATTAAGCCTTTTAGCTTGTTGGGTGGGTTGGGATTGGTATAAGCATTTGCCAAAGGGCATGCATGAGAGTGTCATCTAATGTAGATATGAGACTCCAACATCGATTATGAGTTCATCGAAGGAGGAGAGATCAATGTCACAAGAGTGTGTTGGAAAACAAAAAAGTAAGTGATCCTCCCATCAGTGTTATCAACAATGTCATCTTCCTCTTCTTTCACATGAGTCATCGCTTCTTCTGTTATGGTTAAATTCTTATCATCACTCAAAATATCGCGAGATGAAAAGACTTTTGTTGCAATACCACTCAACTATTCATTTCATCCTCACCACTAGAATTAGAGGAAGAATATAGAGGTGGAGAAGAGTATCTCAATACACGACTTGCTGGTATATGAGAAAGTGGGGGTTAAAGGTAAAAGAGACAAGACACATTCAGAAATCACATGTATAATGCAAAGGAGGAAATATAATGACAATAACAATAATTTTAAAGTCATTTTAATTGTTTAAAACTTACTTTTTTATTAGTATAAATTAAGATTTAACGCACACATATACAATTATAAAAGAATTATAAAATATGTAATAGTTAACATTAAAATATAAGTATTTGAATTGTAAGCACACATTTTTTTGAAAGAGAAAATCAAAAGATAATGACGAGATGTTTAATATCATTTATTACAAGTTAAAACTTTTTTTTTTATTTTTTTTTACTTTAGAAATGTATATCGGTTAACCATAAAATATAAATGTTTGAATTAAAATATAAAATTTGATGAGTGAGAAAAAAATGAAAAAAATAATGACGGGATGTCTATAATCATTTATGATCAATTAAATGATCGATTAAAATTCTTTGACTTTTGAAGTCGATGATGATTAATACAATAAAAATATATAAATATTGAAAGAGGTAATTGCAATTCACGCAATTCAAAAATAATTAAAAAAATATCTATAAATATGATAAGTACAGTAATTCAAAATTGACAATTAAATATTAATTTATATTTATTTTACTAGTAAAGTATAAAAAAAAAAATAGATTAGTATAAATAAGAAGTTAATTTTTTATTATAAAATTATTTTATTAAAAAATAATTAAAAATACTTTCATTGGAAATGATTCCTAAAATTATTATTATTTTAAAACATTATTATATATATAATAGAGTTATAAGAATAAATTAATTTTATTTAACTTTAGAATAATAATAAAAAGTTGTATGTTATTATTCTTTTTTTGTGAGATTAGACAGTTAAATTTGAAAACCACATTGAGAAGCACGAAATCTTGGTATTTCAAAACCACACGACATTATCTTTTCAACTTAACAAATATCAAAACACTCGACGGTTCTTTATCTAAACGCCACCACAGAAAGAAAAATTCCTTGGAAACATAATGCTATCCCAAATTAGCATATATCTTGTCATGAATATCAGAAAAAAAGACTTTTAATATACAATATTTTTTGGGCTAAAAAAGATTGTTACTGACTAAACTTACCGTGTGTGAGTTGTGACACTACCCTCTCTCCCGGATTTTGAGTGAACGCTTTTGACTATTTGTTTTTGCTGTTGGACTGTGACACTGAAAACACCTTTTCCTATGGTCCCACCCCTTTATCAACCCTTCTCACCTCCTTCAACTCTGTTTTTTTCCTCTGTTTCACTTCACTACCTGCTGCTAATCAAGCCTTCTTGATTAACTTCTCCCAGTGAGTTCCTTCTTCTCTTCTCACACTTCCTATGTTTTATTGATTCCACTACTGTTTTTGGATTTTTATTTACTTTTTTTAAAAAATTTAAAAATCCATTTTTTTAAGGTCAGTTTTTGCTGAGAAAATAGCAGAGTACTCTGTTACTGTGGACACAAACAAGGGGCTATTGATATGATTCTTGGGTGCCATTTAATTTCTGCTTGCTGCATGGTTTAACAATGTATCCGATCTTTAATGGGCATGTTCTGTTTTTCAAATATGGTGGACTAATGTTAAAAAGTTTTCAACTTTCTCTCACTCTTCATCTGCCGAACAAAAAGAGCATGCAAAGAATAAAAATTGTTTATGGTTCTCTTGTTATATTCCTTCTGCTGTTGATTTCTGAAACTTCACATCGGTGTTCTTTGTTGGTATGCCGATCATGTGATCTTCATGATTCCCGGTTTTGCCACGGAACTTGAAAGGATTAAAAAAAAGGGAAAATTCCCTTTTTGAATTTCAGAATTCACAGGTTTAAAACGCTTTGGGATTTGGGCTTGTTTCTATATTCTGAATGTTCAGATTGCACCATTCCTCATATATTTTAAGCATTTTGGCTTTGTTCAATGTGAAGTTGCGCAAATACTATAATAGTAATTAGTTCTCTGCATTGTCTGTAGAGATCCGCGCTTGTTGCTTGTTAATGTGGTTGCGTTACCTTCTTTCCCTTCTTCTACATTCTTTTGTTTTTTGTGTTCTTCTCTTTGTTCTATACTTTTTTTTCATCACCCTTAAATGCAAAGGACCCTCTATTTCTAGCAACAGTCCTTTTTTGTGTCCCTGAAAGATTGTGTTATTGTGCTTGATCTCACCTATTATTATTGCAATGTATAGGGTGTCTTGAAGCAAGGATATTAATGGAGAGGGACCCAAACATGAGCAAAGAAATAGTGGTTTCAAATTTCACATTGCATTCCTCATCCACAAAAGGGTTCAAGGACAAGAGCATCGCCAACAATAACATGCCCTTCTGGCTCCTCAACAATATTTCTGGTATGCATTAAATTCCCCAGTACCGTACTCAAAAAACTAAACTTGCTTTAACTAAACAAAACTTCATGTTACATGTTACTCCCAAGTCACATGTCTTGGTGTTTGTTTCTGTTTTGACCTAATATCCGGTAGGTCTGATGCCCCTTGATGTGATTATTAGATGAATGTTCAAATTAATCTTACTTCTAATTTCTATATTAGAACGTGTCTAAGCAAACAAGATTTGTGTTTAAGTTAACACGTGTGATATGATTTGGTGTATAAAATTAAATTTTAGATGTTAGCCAAAAAAAATGTTAGTGACTTGGAGGAAGGGGTAATTTTTGTGGGTCATTGAAGGTTTTTGGATATTTGAACAGTATGGTGATATCATATGATGTAATATATAATATAATGTATGTGTATAAAATGAATAAAGGGAAAATCTTCAATGGGGCATGAAACAGAAAGGGAAAGTTGAGAAAGTCCTAATAAATGAATTCTGAACTTAAGGAAGGAGAAGAAATCTGAATTTAATGGGATCACATGGTTCCGGTGTGTTAGAAATTATGTTGTAACGGTGGCAACCTTTTTCAAGCAAACATCAATGGAAAGAAGAAGGAAAGGATGGATGAAGGAGAAGAAGAATCCACCCATACAGACATGTCCTTGTCAACTGTCAAACGTCCAAGTCTTCATTGGAAACAACAATGCCGTACATCATTATTTGCCTTGTTACATTATTATCATCAAACACCACCTAGCTCACGCGCCTTTCCACACGCGCCTAGTAAAAGGGTGCATTTTAAATTTTAAATTTTAAATTAAAGGGCATAAATAAATTATTATCCTTATTTGTTAATAATCATTATATAACAGTACCTTATTATATATTATGGATTAAAATCACGTCTCACCCTTCCAATGAAAAACTGACACGTCAATTAAAAAAAGACATGTAACATTTGAAAATTTAACCTTAATTTTTTAACACCACCCGCACTTTCGTTGTACCCTCTGTATTGCAATTTGCAGCAGCATGTACTTGTCCTTCTATATATTATTATTATGTGTTATTATGTATAATCTATAATATATATATATATATATATAAATAAGTGATAATCTAATATAGGATACATATTTTTTAAGGTAATTTTACTTTTATTTTTAAATAATAAAAAATAATATTAAAAATTAATTATCCTTATAAATACAAGATTGGAATTTGATATTTTAAAATTTGAAGATCAAATATAACATCTATTAATCTAACAAATATTAATGATTTTTAAACATAATTATTAAATAAAATATAGAGATGTAGATTTCACTGAAATTATATATTATGGTAATGTATATATATATATTATGGTAATGTTGTAAGCATTGATTTTGGAGAAGAAAAACTCAGATAAAGTTGATATTGTTACGTGTGGTGTTTTCAAATTTCCAATTTGATTTGAACCAGACTTGTACACCTTCTGGAGATTGATCCATTGTCACTTTCTCATACCCTTTTGTTCTTTTGTTTGGCCTTTGCGGAGCTTTTTGGACACTCATTTTGTGTTTCAAATTTTGAAACTAACATGGGTCTAGTGGTCACACAAGTGATACATTGGTCGCTGTCCACGTCACTACCTTGCTGCAGTGTACATTAGATTTTTGGTGTCATTTGTAACATTGTAACGGTGACCTTTCCATTTAGGCCTCGTGGCCTGTGCTCATATTCCCCTAACCTTTATTCGATTTACCCTTAAAAAATTGAAAGTTGGAGAACAATAGCTTTTCTGTCCACAGTGCACATGCTCAGGTATAGTACATGATTTTGACCTTTGTATTCAAAACTAGAGGTAGATAGATCATAGATGAAACTCTAGACTAGACATTACAGTGGCAATGTGCCATGCCATACCTTGTGGCTTGTGGTGCCTAACTCTTGTTGCTAATTCAAATTCTGTTTTCAAAAATAGTCCTACACTATTTAATTTCCTTATAACGTTTTTATCTTGCATACCAGAATTATTTATGGGTTTTGTCAGTGTTCCCTTTTCTGGTGTCAAGGTTTGGTAACATGTCACTTTCTTAGAGGTCAATTACACATCAACCAAGTTGAGATCTGGTCTATATTAACCTCTTTTGTGGTACATCTCAATGCCAATCTTGTTACAAGTTTCAACTTTATAGTTCTGAAGCTATGGAATTGTGTAAACCTGGTAAGGAAGAAAAAATCATTGTTCCTTCTCCGTGTTTTTTTTCTTGCATATTACTAATTACTAAAACAAATGTGAATCTAGTCTTTAATGACACCGCGTGATTTATTGTGTAGGTTATGTAGTTGACCTCATCTAGCGGAAAAAGGAAAAAAAAAAAAATATTGTTCTTTGTGTCCTATTTTTGGCATATTACTAATTACCAATCACTAATACAATTGTGAATCTATTCTTTAATGACTTTGTGTGATCTATTGTGTAGGCTATGTAGTTGACCTCAAGGAAGAGGCTTTTATTGTTGTTGTTGTTGTAGTACTAATGCAAATGTGAAACTTGGTGTTTGATGGCAGACTTGGAGGAGAGGATGAAAGTGTTGGCAATGAGTACAACAGAAGAAGAAGAAATGGGTGACACTTTTGCAGAAAGAGCTGAATCGTACTACCAAAAGAGACCTCAACTACTGTCCCTTCTGCAGGACTTGTATAATGGCTACATAACCTTATCTGATCGTTACATTCAAACCCTGGCCAAGCACAAGCATCATCATAGTAGACACTCTTCTCAAGTCTCAACAGTAGATGAAGGCTTCTCTGATCAAGAAGAAGCTAGTGGTGTGAGCCACATTGATTCAGACATTGAAAGCTCAATCTCCTACCAACACCCTCCATCCATGATGATGCCTTTTGTCCCCCCTAGAACCTCCATGCTTGATGTCGACGCCATTGTTGCCGAGCTTGTGATTCAGAATGTCGAGTATGACGTGTTGATGCATGAGGTTGGTGTCATGGAGAGGAGGTACTGTGAGTCCTCAAGGAAAAGTGAACTTCAAAAGAGTCTGCTTGAGGTGTTGGAGTCTGAGAGGATTGTTTTGTTGAATGAGAATGCTAGCTTGAGTTATAGAGTCAACACTTTGGTGGAAGAGAACAAAGAGCTGGCATCTGAGTCAGTGTTCATTAAGAGGAAGGCTGGTGAGCTAGCAAAGTGTGTGCTGAAGATGAGGGAGGATCATAGAGTGTACATGCTACACAGGAAAATTGAAGATCTTCAGGCACAGATACATGGTTTGGAGAAGAGGAACAAGGAGTACTATGAGAAGCTTTTGAGGAGAGACGGTCAAGAAGATGGTAACAAAGGGAAGAGTGGTGAGGGGATTGCTTTGGAAGTGTGTGTTCAGATGGACAAGTTTAGAATGTTCAAGTGGAAAGATGGAAGCTCTTCAGGGAAGAAATTTGGTGGGAAGAAGGCCCCAAGTTTGTGGAAAAAGCTGAAGAACATGGATTTGTTATTGTGTGGAACTAATCCAACCTGTGCTTGATGATTCATGGCTGGTAGATTTTTGTGTCCACAAAAGTTTAAAAGTCACATGTATACTTTTTGGCACTTCAAAGGTAGCAATAGGTTGGTTATTAGGTTAAGAGTGTATTTAGCTATGAGTTAAGAAGAGTTTCAAAGAAATTTTTTTATTGAAAATGTTCTTTATTTTCAATAGAGAAATTTTTAAATTACTCATAAGCCATGGTGTACATTCCGACATGAGGCCCTTAACATAGAAATGCACGAGAGCACCTCTAGCTAATCCTTGACAAACTAATTGTAGATCAGTTAACATCATCCTGTAAAAGCTAGAGTGGGGCTGAACTTTGCCTCTACTATTTTGGTTGCTGAAATTCTACTATGTTGTTGTAATGTTAAGAGACTATCTTAACAAAAGTATGATCCACCATCATTCACTAATGTTGTAATGAGTGATATGATAGGCTATATTAGTTGAAGTTCAAGTACCAACTTAATGCCCTTTTGTGTTGGTATTTTCCACCTTAGTTGCTTCCATGAACAACTATTGTGTATGAAAGGTGATATACGTGCACTTGCAATTTAAAAAAGAATGGAAGTTTGTTATATAATAACTTTTACCATCGTGTTTGAATTTCCAGAGAGATTAGAAGGAAGTAACGTGTGATAGTTGGACTTGGATTGCGTTATTAAATTGGGTTGGATAAGACGTCTTTTAATTAGTGGGGTAGATTGCATGTTTTTGAAATTTGAAGTGGCTTTACCTTGTTTTGAGGCATCATTTTCCAACAAAATGCTAATTTCAACCGTGCCCCACTTGAGTAAAATGTTTTCATTTTCTATCTTACTTTTATCTTTTTTTCCAAGTTCATATGTGATCGATCCAAATCAAAACTAGGGATGCTTTCCATACTGAGAAAGTTTATCAGTCACATGCTCACATATCCATCAAACATATAAATTCCCTTATAATAAACTATAATCCAGCATTAGAGTAAATTAAACAAATAAAGTTAAAACATAGCGATTCTATTTTTTTTCCCACGATTTTGCGATTTGTCATCAAGTTTTTGAAATTACATTTTTAGTCACTTCTAAGATTCTCATCTTGTCATTTTGTTAGTTGATTAATGTGTATGTTGATTATTGACATGTTATATTATGTCATTCTAATTTTATATACGATTTAATAACAAAATAGTAGAATGTGTAAAATTTTAAAAATTTGACGACAAAATACACAATTTCAAAAGTTGAGAGATAATTCATAAAATTATCATATATATATATATATAATTAAACTTTTATTTATTTTTTTACTTCTTTTGTTTACATTATCGTGAGCCACAACGTGCAATAAAAAGGATGTTCACATAAAAAGCACTTATATAGCTGGAGTTGAAGTGGATAGGTATCTCATACAATGTTTATGAAACTATTAAGATACATTACACATAATAAATTGAGTTATATTATTTATACAATACCTTTTGCACATTATTATTATTTATCTCTTTTTGTCATATCATTCATTTTCTCTATTTTCTTTTTTATCTTTTTTATTGCACAAAAATATTTGAAAACTTTATCTAAAAAAACAATTTCTCTAATAAATTATGCTAATTATCAACACACGATATATGTGACTACCTAATATTGTGACATCATAATGTTGTGAGACACCAATGCAATGTTTGTCAGCTATGCTCTAGGAAACATTTCTTATTCTATGATTGTTAGCCATATTGCAGTTAATTAAGTCTGAAAGTTAGAAAAGGAGAAGAAAAATAATGGGTCTTCAAGGTTTTCGATGTTCCAGTATAATTATGTTCTACCTTTGCCTCACAACCTCCTTCATCTTTCTCTATGCAAAGGGAGAAGTCTATTTTGTTGGTGATGACAGATATGGTTGGGATGACTTCTTCGATTTCAGCAACTGGACTCATGGAAAAGAGTTTCATGTTGGTGATGTTCTTGGTAAGGCTAGAGTTTCACCTTCATAATAAGAAATACCAAACATCTAAATTGCTCTTTAAGTTTGGAAAACTATTGTTATATTACTCTCTGAGCTTTAAAAATTGTTATATATTGGTATATATTTAAAGATTAAAACAACATTAAGTAATTAAATTAAAGATTTATTTATCAATTTTTAAATTTAAAAAACTAATATGAAAGTGTCTTCTAAATTCAGACACTAAAATTAATATTTTCTCAAATAAGAAATTCCACTAAGATACTCTTTTATATATTTTATTAACATATTCTTTTTACTAGGAAAATTTATGTGACACTTGTAAAATAAAAATGTTGAAGTGACATGATTTAATGATTTAATGATTTTATTGTTAACAATCTTCCAATCATAGCAACAATATGTTTGGTTAGGCATCTGAAAACACCGAGGCATGTTTGATGTCTTTGAAAGGTTATGAGTGTTAAACACAATTCATATAAAAATTAAAAGTCACTTTACATTTTTGAATGTAAATTTAAAGGAAACCAAAAGTGAAAAACTTTTATGAAAAGGTAATTACCAACATACTTTTTTGTGACTTTTAGTTGAAAAAATATATATTTACTGATTCTTAAAGTACTTTTTAGCAAAACCCTTTGTTAAAATTTCGAAAATCCCATAACTTTATTTTATATTTTTGAATGTAATCTAAGCACATACAACTATAAACCTATTTTTGTTAAATCAAATATTTACAAGTGTCGTTAAAGTTATTGAGAAAACATAAATCATTTTATAGAAAGTAAAATCAATATGAAACTAATTTTACAAAATATCATTCAGATCTATTTATTTGCATTATCTCATTATAAAAAGAAACGTCATGAAGTGATATTATAATATTTATATTGATATATTATTAAAACGACGTAAGTATAAAATATAGTATCATAAGATATATTATTGAATTTTTGTCATAATCAACACTAAAATTATGTATAATTATATATCAAATAAATTTATATTTACATATATCATATCTATAAGACATTTTTTTTTTATTTTAGTGTATCTAACATTTCTTATAATCTGTTACCTCAAAATGATGCATATATACATATTTCATGACATGAAAGTTGAAAATTTTCACTAGCAACATGATGTATTATTATATTAACAAACTATATTGATATGTTGATGCTTTTGTTACCAGTGTTCAAGTACGAAAGCAGCCTACATAATGTGTTACAAGTTGATTCCACAGCTTATGAGAATTGCATAAAGGACTCATATGCACAAAGATTCACTAGTGGCAATGACTCGGTGGTTTTAGAGGAAGGCAGAGCATGGTTCATATGTGGAGTAGGTGATCACTGTGAAAATGGACAGAGGCTACAAATTGCTGCAACTCCATAGCTAATTAATAAACTTTTATATTGGAGTTCTACTAGCTTTAATTGCTGTTTTTCATACTATTTCACATTACAGAAATATTTTATAGACTTTACAATGATCAAGTTCATTAGAGAATAGAGAATGCGAAATTTAGAATATCCTTTTCGGAGTGCAAAATTCATCATTGGCTGAAGATTTCTAATACTTAATTTTAGTAATCTGAACTGAACTAATTTGATTTTAGTAAGTCCTGTTTAATGAAACATAATTCTATATTAAAAACTGAAAGAGTTAAAACAATATTTATAAAATTTGCATTGTTTGGAAAGAAACAAGTTAATCCAAATCTATAAAAAAAATAAAGAACCCAAATAAATATTTTAAAGAAATAAAATAAAATAAATATTTAAATTAAAATAAAATATGAAAATGTAATTTAACTCTCAAAATATAGAATATTTAAACATATTTTTAGTTTCTCAAATATAAAGTAAATTTGTTTTTGTCTATCAAATATAAAATCAATTTTTTAGTCATGTAATTTAAAAATTTATTATTTTAGCCCTATTTAAATGTCATTAATAAAATTGTCAAATTTAAGGCTAATCTACTACTGAATTTATTGAACAAAATTGACTTATTAATGTCATTGTTAACTTTAATAAAAATATCTTATTGAATTCAACCAATGTTTCACAATTGACTCAAATGATTACTGTGTGTGTTATTATTGATGGTCCTAAACAAATATTTTTTTTTTTAAAATTACAATAATTAAAAAGATGAATTTTAAATTTGAGGAAAAAAATTACTGTGGATTTAAGAGAGGATAGGAACACTAATAGACTTACTTTTAAGTGATGAAAATGGAATGTTGTGGATTTGTCATTTTTCTTTTACATTTTATACTAAGTTATTTGAAAACTTTGGCTAGATGTTTTGTGCTTAAAAAAAATACTTTGAAATACGTAATTTGTGAATGAAAATATCATATCTTATTTAAAGTATGCAACTCTGCACTAAACACCATCATTATTTCATCTTATTTGAACTCATCTAGATTCATCTTCTTAACTTTTCAACACCAATAGTTGGTCGGATTCAGTTATAAATGGTATCAAAATTTAAAATCAAACTCGTCCAATAACACTCGTATTAACCATTTTTTTTAGTTGGGTTTTTGCCCACCCCTAGAAATTGCTCTCTCTCTAAATTCATCACCTTTTTATATATAGACATAATCCACATTGTATCTTAAAACTGACAAGTAAAAAATAAGAACTAATCTTCATTATTGCGACGTAGAATAGTAATATGTAATATAAGTTCCTCGATTATATAATTTATATGCTGAATTTGAGAGGCACTAGGACATTTAATCCCACACCTGTACTGTTCCATATTGATTAAAGTAGTAGTAGATCATCACATCATCACCAATTAGTTCTTTAATCCATGCATCATGCCACAATAACCGCATCTAGGATTACAATATAATCAAACGCATTGCTTAAGGAGATGATTGCTGTCTCAATCATTTTCCGTTTTCTAACATTTTGATTGATGATATATCACAAAACAAGTTGAAAGCAAGCAGGTTGATAAAACTCTTGAGAAAGTAAGAATTGCATGAGTTTGAGTTTTAAATTTTGAGTCCAAATTAACCCCGAGGCCCTTTTTAGACCAATTTGGGCAAATTTTTAAGGCAGATATCTGACGTATCTAATTTTCCAAATTTGGAGATACTTTCATTTAAAGAGTGTGCGAATGTAATTACAGTTCACGACTCCATTGACTTTGTAGATAAACCTAAAATAGAGTGCTGAAGGTTGTAGTAAGCTTAAGAGTTTTCCTCCTCTTAACTTGCCCTCTCTTAAAACACTAAAACTTTCATATTGTTTCAGTCTTGAGAATTTTCCACAAAAAACAGGAAAGATGAAAAACTTAATGAGAATTGAATTGATTGGCTTTCCTATAGCAGAATTACTAATTTACTCATTTTAACATTTTACTAGACATTAGTTTGATTCTCCAAAATTTTGTAATATTAGGTAAGTTCTCCAAACAATTAGAGACATACAAATGGTCGTTAGTTTTACCTACAGTAATTTGCCAGAATAAGCATTTTGATGTCATCTAAGGAATTTATTTGGTATAATAAACAGTTTAGCCAAACTGATACCAAGTCAATTTTTAAGAAGAAAAAAAGTACTTAAGTATTTTTTTTAAGTAAAGTATTAAAATCAATTTATTTAAATATATACTAATTTAATTAACAATTTATTGAATATTATCCTCTATATACATGGGGGAAAAAAGTTATATTGAATAACAGTTACAATTTTTTTACAAGAGAGTATTTATGAGTTTTTCAATAAAATTGTTTCAAGAAAAAAAGAAGCAAACACTCGGATTAATTATATATCAGAAAACAAGTTGAAAGCAACCAGGGTGACAAAACTCTTGAGAAAGTAAGAATTGCATGATGAAATTTCGAAATTGAAAGCAACACACTATAGTTGGAACCCACTAATTTAGGAGGGTCACGTATGACATGAGACAAAATCAAAATAACCATCACAACATAATGATTACTAATTCAGTTCTTACTATGGATGAGCATCAGAACTTTTAAGATGAAAACACGTTTGTGGCTGGCTAGATTCTCCCATCAGGAGGAAAATGTGACATTTGAGTACATAATAGATATGATCAAAATGGATGTACATGATCTTGTCCAAAAATTATAGAGGGTTATTCTCCCACAGAATCAGGATGAAATGCTAAATAGTAGCTACGAATAATGGAAGTGGCCTTACACACTACGGGAGAGAACGTGGTGAGACTTTGGCAAATAAACTGTTTTGTAGTTTGATTATTGTTCTTGTCCATAGCGGCATTTAACTTCTTCCCCCTCTAATAGCCTCTCCACAGCATCAGAAGGAAGGCCAATCATTTCCAATGTCTTTTCCCACACTTGGTAAGAAGTTTGAACGTTGTGTGCTTCTTCTGATGGATTCGTGGGACGACAATCTTGAGAGATGAACGCACAAACAGGCCACTCGTCGGCTTTCAACATTTCGCAATACTCTGGCACTTGAGGATCAGTGGCAGCAAACAGTGCACTCCTCGCACCTGCATTGCAACATAAGTCATATTTATTCAGTATTAAGTCAGTCCTCAACATCTACTCATACAAAACATTCCATCAACTAGGATGGTTTTGTTGGTCAGTTGATTATAGCATTAGATCATGTTTTGGTAATATTATGCCAAAACCAAGTTCATATTTGACTATAGAGGAAATGAAACAATTTCAAGAATTACATCTCAAAATGTCTAGAATGTTTGAAACTATTGAATAAACAGACCTTCTTGAGCACTGAAGATGAAGTAAGGTATCAATCGATATGCAGCTTGCACAAGTTTTGGAAGATCTCTTGCCTGAAAACAGTTGAAAGTATAAGCAAAACTGAAATAATGCAGCAAACCAAGGAATCAATGACCAGATATATCCCATTATGCAACAAAGAAATTACTAGGTCTCACTCCAACTAGTGGAAAAATGGGCCAGGCTGGGCCAAACCATCCAATAAAGTGAAGATTTTGGGCTTTAAATTTTGAGCCCAAATTAACCCTGAGGCCTTTTTTAGCCCAAATTTAGTTTGCTAAGAGCCCAAAACGATTTTGGGTATTGTTATTTTAGAAGTTTGAATTGAAACCAGGTTTTTTTGGCATGGCCAATTTTGTTACTTCTACTCCAGAGATTTGCACTCACCTATTTTAATCCACAAATCACAATTGCTCTGTAAGCAAAATATTATTACCACTAACTCCAGAGTGTTGTGTCTAATAATATAGTTTATCTCATTAACTTGTAGTGTTTTTAAAAACACTACTTGCAGTCACATCAATCAAATGGGTAGATAATCAACACAACACTTACAGTGTAAAAGGGGATGTGTCCCTTCCAATCAAATGGGTAGAGGGGTGAGCATAGGAACTTTAATCTTAACCATTTGTACATGTAGCTGGTTGTTAATGAGGGAACTTTAAAAGAAATTTTAATGAAAGTACCTTCTTTCAATTTTTTCTGGTTATGATGTATTACGTACAGTGTATCTACATCATTTTCTCAAGGTTAACTCACAGATAATGACAAAGGGTGTGAGAAAATTTCGGTGAAAATATTCTCATGTAAAAGATAATTTATGAAGGTTTCATGTCGCTCTGTTGCAAGAGAACAATTAGATCCTATTTTGGTTCTTCAGCAGAAGTTATATTCAGTTTAACAAAGACTGTAAAATCAAAATAGATATTGCAAAATTAATTTACAGTTGTACATGTTCCGGCCAGAAACAGATGTTAAATTTTTTCTAAAGACTTACAACATTAGTCTGGACAATTCCAGGTGATACACACAATACACTGATGCCAGCTTCAGCAGGGAGTCTTTTAGTAAGAATACTACTAAACATAATCTGCAACACAAAATGCCAAGTGCTGTTTCATTCATAACTTCAATATGGAAGGTAAACCAAGCAATTCATCTTTGTCTGATTTTGCAGCTTGGATCAGTAAGAATAAATTTTAGAAGTCAATATCAACAACAGACTTTAAGAACCAAACATCAAAGAAAAAATACAGGGAGAAAATGGATTCAGTCTATCAAAACCTAAACAACAAACAAGATGCAATTATACTAAGAAACCAAAGTGCTGAAAAAACATAATTTAAGTATGCAATTTACCTGCATATGTTTTGGATAGAAAAGATAAGCAATTATTTTAATTTTTATGAATAAAAGGAAAGCACCTAAGTCTTCAATTCTAAATGCTATGTTTTCAGTGATGCAATGTGTGTGTGAGAGAGAGATATAAAATAGTGCACATAATTTAGTGATGGGAAGCATTGAAAATACATTATGGAAAATTTTCCCAATGAATAAATACAACATTGAAATGAATGTATGTCATGTTTATCAATATTAACAAATTTTCTTATTAATCGATACTTTTATGTACTTTAGTATCCTAAAATTAGTGTACATTATACACTATACTTTTTAAACACTCTAAGTGTGTGCTTATGAGTGTAAAATCATTTAACGACATACTTATTTTTGTTTTAATTCTTTGAAGTTTAATATACAAGTTCAACATTAGTAATAATTAAATTGTGAGCACTACAATGTGTTTATGCAATTTACTCAAAAAAATAACTTCACATAATTGCACTAGTAATTTCATTAGATGATAAAAATTTAAATGTAAATTGCAAGGCATAAAATTGTCAAAAAATTTAAACAAAGTGTACCTCTGCCAACTTGCTGCTCGAGTACCCTACCATACTAGAAAATTTCCTTTTTCCAGATGTAACATTCATGTCTTCAGTGTCTACAAAGCCAACCTGATGCATCTACAGAAAAGAGAGGAAAAGAAAAAGAAAAAGCATGCTAAGATTTTCTTAGGGTTAGAGAGAGTAAAAGATTAAAATTTAAAACACATTAGTTTATACATTTTTTATTTTCCATGACTAATTACTTTACCATGATGACAGCAGAAAAGCAATCAACATTCAACAGTTTAAAAATTAAAGAACAGTTGAGCAGAAAAATAATAATATTACAGAGAACACTGATTAATGGAGTATCAACAATTTTATCAGCCAGATTCATGTTCTGTTCTCTTTTCATTTGTTCAAAATAAATTACTTCTTTTGTATTTGAATTTCATGCACATAAGTATTTCATCAAACAAGAATCTCTTTCTCTCTCTCTGACACAAACAGAAACATCCTCATATTTTAGCAATTAAACAAAGCTTACAGTTACGCATTGCATAGCAAGAAACATTTGAGCAATAGTACAATGTCAAACAAGAGTTGATAATGCATCACAAAGAAGAATTTTTAACTTACAACATTAATTTATTGAAAAAGTAAAAGAAAACAAAGTAACTCAAAGCATTAAAGGACAGTAGATATTGTAGCGTCACAAAAGTCTCTTTTGTTTTTTACCATAAAACAAATTTTAATAGAAAATCAGTGAGGGAAAACATGCCTACCAGGATTCAGGAGGACAAATGCACCTAAACAGAAGAAAGAAAATGTCTTCCAAATTAACTTAACCTTTCATAACAAGTAATTTGTTATTGAATTTGAATTCTAGAAATCATTAATCCCCACCATTACCAGCAATACAGAAAATAACAAACAGAATAACAACAGTAGTGTATAGCAAGTTTAGCAACAGTCAAATTTTCCAAATTCTTTATGACAAAACAAACCAAAAGATAATTGACTATATTTTAATAAGATCCAAGCATAAAAAGCCAACAAGTAATAAATGTTGAATCAATCAAACAAACATCTATCCAAACAAAGAAAAGAAGTTGTCATAAATATTAGTATAGTACATAAATCAAAGGCAACAATATGAAAAAAAAAAAAAAAAACATGAAAACAAACTTGGACTTTGATGTGTCAGGTCACCTATAGACTGTGATATATGATAATAGTGTTCAAATAGCAAGAGAGACTTACTATGGAATTCACATTAACAATGCGACTAGGTGAACCCCTAAGAAGGGATGGTAAAAGAAGTATCGAAAGCAAGGAAGGAGCGAGATGATTCACTTGCAAGTGCTGCTCATAACCATCTTTGGAAAACTTTTGTGGCTCTGAATCAAAATAAAAAGTGAGTGGGTTAGTTACATTTGTCATCTATGAGAACCCATCTGGATGTTATTATAGTTAACCCTTATAATTTTGTCACAATAAAAGATGGGGAAAAATTAGTAAATTTCAACAGGTAATCCCAAAAATTACTGGAAAACACTCAAACCATAAAAAGATTGAGCCTGAACCAGTACTTGGAGCTGTCTCAGGTTCAGAATGATAGACAAAAGAAAAGTCAAATTTCAGGATCAGCTTTGTTTGATCAGAAATACTAACCTCCAATGGAAAAAATTCCAGCATTATTGATGAGAACATGCAAGGGTGCTGAACGTGCATTCCATGCTTCAGCAAACCTCACAACAGAATCTAATGAGAGAAGATCAACTTGCATCACCTTGACAAGCCAAACGGAAATGTCAAAGACCAGAAGTAATCCCGAAAGATATGCTTGATTTTAGCCTATTCTTTATTTGTCATTTAAAACAACTATTCTACCAAAGTCTCCCCTTTGAGCATCACACAATAAAGCTTTTCTTATAACAAAATAAGTTAATCGAAACACACATTCCAACACAAAAAGTTTGATGGATCATAATCATCATATATGATTTAACAAAGCATGCTCCAAAAATGACAGTTTAATGTTCCTCACTCAATAATATGTAACTGGACATACAAGTTACCTCAACATTGACAGGAATACTCAATCCTTCAGAGTCAATCTGCCACTTCTGGATCAACTCCTGAGCTGCCTTTGTGTTCCTCACAGCCATAACAACATGGGCCCCTGATTGTGCCAATTGCCTGCATGATGTGAAGAACAACAAAAACAAATGCATCAGCCCCCCTTTTTTGTTAAAACATAAAAGTTCACACTCCATAGTGTCTTATCTAGAATTTAAACCAAAAATATACCCAAACCCACATGACTTTACCTAAGAGGCAGTTTGGATAAACTTCTTAACAAGTAATTGTAGAAAAAGAAAATAGAATGAATTAAAATAAATCAAACTTCTTGCATAACTTAAAATCAATTGTTTTATTATCTAACTTCTCTACAAACACACAAGAGTTTCTTTTTCTTTTCCTTTTTGGCATGTCAGAGCATCTCCCATTGTGCACCTATAGTGAAGATTTTTAACTCACTTTAAGTAGATCCTACGTGCCACATCAAATTTAAGAACTTCAATAATTTTCTTCTTCAATGATGCAATCATTCAAAAACTTGAAATAAAGAAATGATAACAATACACTCTCTAATACACTTTCTTGAACAAACATGTTATTATTGACTGAAATTTATTGCAAATTACAAAAATTCTTGCATCTTATTAATGAGTTTCATTCATGATTTTGTAATTTTCAATAAATTTTAGCAGTGTTGAGAGAAATGTGTTAAAGAGTGTCTTGCTAGCACTCCTCACAAAAAATAAGTCTCACATAATACCCTACAAAATGCTTTTTAATCATAACAGGATGCTTGAAGAAGAACTCATTGTTGCAGTCAGCAGTCATATTACGTTCCGTTTGAATAAATCTCAATAAGCAATTGTAAGAGAAGAAATTAAGACTGTAAAATGATATAAGCTTCTCTAATAAGTTAAATTAACTTATACATTTGCTAATTTTCAAAGTTCTCTCATTTATCTTGCCCAAAAGCTGATTTTAAATTGGGCTTAAACTAATTTCAATTTATAAGAGAGACTTAATTCATTTTTTATCCTGTAAGAACTTGCTGAAAAGTTCTTTTTTTTATACAGACATTTTAGTCTCTTCCAATAATGAACTTGAGTAAGAACTCCTCCTTAAACTTAAGAACCTTACAACAACGGGCATTGGAGATGCTCTTAAAGAATCAACAGAAATCCTCTTATGAAACTAACCAAGCCTAATAAATGAGGGAGCCAAAGAACAAAACTTAATATGTTGTTATCTAATCAAAATTGAACTTTTACCTCAACAATATAGGAAAGTGTACATTACTGAAGCAATAAATGTAAATGTTTATGCCACGCATCATTTATAACCAACCCATTTAAAAACCAACCAGAAAGGTACCTGCTTTTCCACAATCTACACCAACAGCCACAAACCCACTTCCCAAAACCTCTATCAACAAACACCAGCCCAGTTCCAAAGCTCAAATTTTTGTCATCGAAAAACAAAACCCATGAAGCTCACCTTGCGATTTCGAGGCCAATTCCGCTGGTGGAGCCGGTGACAATGCAAGTGAGATCATTGACTGGAGGGAGAGGCATGGGGTTGTGCAAGTGGCTGGCCATGATGCGCTGAAAGAGCATTTCGTAGACCAAATAGAACCATCCTCTCAACCACTCTATCCACCCCAAACACTCCTTCTTCTTCTTCTTTGTCTCCGGTGGCTCCTCGCCTGAAGACGACGTCGTTGCCATCTCTCTCTCTACAGAATCTGAGATCTGTCTTTAGCTGGAGACTGGGAATGATGTGGTTTTTCTTATATTTGTATATTGCTGAATGTTGAGTGAAACACGAGTTGTGATGAGTTCACTCGCCCGAATTCAGGAGTATGAGTAACGAATCAATTTCAAAGTTTCGAGTATGATCGACCCATTATTATTGGATTGGACAAAAACAAACGAAGAAACCTATGTACTGATTTTGGTGTGGTCCTCTTCTTGTAACAAAAATATACTCGTGCGGATATAAGTATTTTATTAACCACTAATTGTGTCCGTACATTTATATTAGTTAATAATACAATTAAATTTTAAATATATTTTTACTGTTTATAAAATAAGTGAGTTTAATTTTTCAATTTTTTATTTATTTTTTTAAAATTAGTAAATATTATTTTAATTTTTTAATATAATTATATTTTAAATATGTGTTTAGCGTCTTAGACTAAGTAAATTTCAATTTTGATTTCTGATTTTTTTCTATTTTTTATTTTTTAAAAACTAGTGAACATTATTTTTAATCTTTGTAATATACTTTTAGTTATGGTAAAATGTATAAATTTTTATTTTAATCCTAAAGAATATTTTTCTTTTAATTTTCATCTTTCTAAAATATAAAATCACTTATTGTTAATGTATAAAGATAATTTTAATAAAATTAAAAAATAATAATTTTTAATGACTCAAATTTAAATTTAACATTCACAATTAATTATAATTAAATATTTGTGTAAATATCCTTCTAGAACGAAACTTTATTAAGATATTTTTTACAAAATTTTTATAATTTTAATTTATTATAAAATCTT